AAGAAAGAAAGAAAGAAAGAAAGAAAGAAAGAAAGAAAGAAAGAAAGAAAGGAAGGAAGGAAGGAAGGAAGAAGGAAAGAAAGAAAGAAGAGAGAGGGGGAGGGGAGAGAAAGAGAAAGAAAGAAAGATATAAAGAAAGAAAGAAGAAAAAAACAAAAAGAAAGAAAGAAAAAGAAAGATAGAAGGAAAGGAAAGGAGGAAAGAAAGAAAAAAGGAAGGAAGGAAGAAGAAAGAAAGGAAGAGGGAGGAAAGAAAGAAAGAACAAAAAGAGAGAGAAAGAAAAAGATAAAAAAGAAAAGGAAGTAGGGAAGGAAAGAAGGAAGGAAGAAAAAAGAAGAAAGGAAGGAAGGAAGAAAGAAAGAAAGAAAAGCAGAAGAAGGAAGATGTAAGGGGACATGAATGGAGTAAAAGAAAAAACAAAATAGATAAAAAAGAAAAGGAAGGAAGAAAGAAAGAAAAAGAAAGATAGATCACGTTGGCAGTACACCCTCATAAGAGGATATCTGACACATGTAAAAAAGGAGTAGGCCTCAACCCATCCAGTAGTGCCTTCTATCTTCCATTTTTGGACCTACGCACACTCACCAGAGACTCCTTCCTCCTATGCCTGGGACAGTCTAGCCCCCCCAAAATGCTCTTCTCCCCTCCACCACATAGCATCCCTTGAACCCCTGCCTTTCCTTTTCCAGGCCTGATGTAGGTCCACTTGGTGGACCATCTCCTCCAAGGATGATCAAGACTGAGGAGAAGCCATCCATTTACCTTGTCCAGCATTCCATTGGGGGCCAGGAGGTGCGTCCGGCCAAGGATGTTGATGTGCAGTGTGTAGCGAAAGTGTGGGATTAAGAGCTGTGGACAAGGAAACAACAAGGCAGGTCAGAGAAGAGATGAAGCGAGTAATGGAGTCCCTGGGAGATATTCTCCTTCTCGCTCTCTACGGACATCCTGAGGCCATTTGGGAGAAGATAAGAGCGGAGGACCTCTATCCTGCACCCCTCCTGAGAATTCCTCAACTTCTAGATGAATCTCTTGAGACGTTTGCAGCAGGTGACAAGTCACAACCGTGACTCATAAAGTCAGGTGTGTCAACTCGTAAATCATTCCTATGCCTGTTTCCGAGTTGTCATAAGAAGGAGGGGTGTGGGTGGGGAAGGCTTGAGGGAGCAGTGCGGCAGGTGAAGGCCAGAATCACGTTCTATGCTTATCTTGTGGAGATTGTAGTCTAGGCTACTTATCTTGTGGAGATTGTAGTCTAGGATCTTCTGTTTGCGAAAATCCTTAATTGGAGAGTGTGATTGATGACACCCAGCCACTGAATGTGTTTTATTGGAGAATCTGATTTATGACACATCCAGGCAGGAAAGGCCTGAGGGAACAGTGTGGCAGATGAAGGCCAGAATCACACTCCACATTTATCTTGTGGAGATTGTAGCCTAGGCTACCGGATCTCCTGTCTGCGAAAATCCTTAATTGGAGAGTGTGATTGATGACACCCAGCCAGTGAATGTGTTTTATTGGAGAATCTTATTTATGACACATCCAGGTGGGAAAGGCCTGAGGGAACAGTGTGGCAGATGAAAGCCAGAATCACATTCCACATTTATCTTGTGGAGATTGTAGCCTAGGCTACCGGATCTTCTGTCTGCGAAAATCCTTCATTGCAAAGTGTGATTGATGACACTCAGCCCGTGAACAGTGTTTTGATTGGAGAATCTGATTTATGACACACCCAGGGGGTGGGTGGGTGGAAACAGGGTCACAGGTGATAGTAAATTACGTGCCTCAGAGTTGGTTTCATACCAGTGAGTGCCAGACATATTGCTCCTAATAAATCTTTTGGATTCCTTCGAAGCTGGGCTGGAGGCTCACGATTTAATTAGGACAATCGTGGGAACCCAGAAGAAGGATTTTCAGGTGGGTGGACGATCCGGTAGCCTAGACTATAATCTCCACAAGATAAGCGTGGAATGTGCCTCTGGCCTTCATTGACATTTGAACCCTCCAGTGGCCGAGATCTTCGTGTCATCTCTGAACATTCAGTGGGATTGAACCCCCACCCCACCTTGTGGCTGGGGGGTCTCTCTGACCTCTGCTTTCCCCTCCCCACACTGACACACCTTGTGGACTGGGTGGCACTTGGGAAGCTGCCGGAGGGTGGCCAGCAGGAAGACCTCCACCAGCAGGTGAGTATGAAGCAGGTGGGCCAGGAGCTCATGGATGTAGAGTGTGCTGTTGCGAACCCAAAACTTGGCCAGCGCCCATTCCCACTCCGAATCCGTGGGGAGGAAAATGGGGCTCCTTGGTCCAGGCTGCTGAGTCAGCTGGAAGGAGAAGAAGCTCGTGAGATGCCTGTTTGTTCGAAGAAACCCCCCCACCCCCTTCTCAATTATTTGTCTGCCTATCTGTCTGTCTGTCTCTGTCTATCTCTATCTATCATCTCTCTGTCTATCTAATCTAGCTATCCAGCTATATCTGTCTGTCCGTCTGTCTCTAATCTATCTAGCTACTTAGTTATATCTATCTGTCTTTCTGTCTATCTATCATCTCTATCATCTATCTATCTGTCTGTCTGTCTGTCTGTCTATCTAATCTAGCTATCCAGCTATATCTGTCTGTCTGTCTGTCTGTCTGTCTCTCTCTCTAATCTATCTATCTATCTATCTATCTATCTATCTATCTATCTATCTATCTATCTATCTTCTACCTATCTACCTA